ACTGTTGGGTTTTTTTTTTTTTAACATAACATGGGTTTCCTGCAGGGCTTGGAACGGGTTCAGTCCAGTTGGAACACCTGCTGAGAATCTGTATTTCTAACAAGTTTCCAGGCTATTCTAACGCTGCTGGTTAAGGAGCAATTCTGAGAACCACTAGTAGAGCAGTGGTTCTCAAAATTTATTACACATAGGAATCACTCCGGGATCTTGTTAAAATGTAGATTGTGATTCTGGAGTGGAAATGCAAATTCTTAGCAGGGGTTCGAACCACAACTAATCGATTGAAGTCCTGGTTACCTGGTACCTCACCCACCACATCACCTTTCTGTAAAGCTGTGTTTACAAACTTGAGCAGATCCCTGTTATGTGTATGCTTTCTAATCTGAACAAAGCCAAGGAGACTGTTTTCTTCCTGAACCGGACATCACCCAGTACTTCCAATGAGATTCAGCTTCTCACAGGAGGTTCCCAATCCTTTGGGCCTGTTCTCACCAATTAGACTTGTGTGAACTTCCTGTGGAGAGCCAGGCAAAAGAGAAGGCTGCCTGGGTCAACCTGGCAGATAGCTCTGCTCAAGAAGCGAACAAACTTCTGGAAAGTGAAAGAGACAAGGTTTCATCTGTTAACCCCCCGGGGTTATGGTGGTGGTAGTATTATACAATGACCCGTCTCCCGCCACCTAGGGCTGGAAAGGGAGAGGTGGCTCCTCCCCCAGCCCTCTCGTGGCCCGTGGGTAGGGGTGTGTGTTCCACCGCTGATAAGCCCGCCCCTCCCTCCACATTTAGCCCGAAACTCCCTCTCCGGTCCACCAGGCTAACCGGGGACCAGTTGGCTCACCGTGAGTCAGAGTCGCTCCGAATGCTCAGGCCTCACAACGCGCATCACCGCGTTGGCGCAACCGGAAATGCGTCACAAGCCTAGTCTACCTCGGCCCATCTAGGATTTTGGGAAGTCTTCTAGGAGTTCTGGTGGCGCGGTGGTTAAGCAGTTGGCTGCTATAGGAGAGGTGGGGCAGTTGGAAACCACTGGCAGCTCAGCGGGAGAAAGATGTGGCAGCCTTCCATAAAGATTTACAGCCTTGAAAACCCTATGGCGTCCTATGGGGTCTGAGTCTGAATGACGCCACGCAGGGGCGGATTATGGTAAGGGCCGGCTTACTTGTGCTTATTGTCTGTAGTGAACAATTTCACATGGGTTTCACCACGTCTTACACAAGTAAGCCTGTGTTTAACTTGCTTACTGGGTTTCAAGTTTACTTGCTTATTGTAAATTTGAAAAAAGGCTTTGATTCTGCAGGAAGGTGCTGTGGGGTTGGGAAAGAGATGCCAGCCATACCTAGAAGCAAAATCTTTGATGTGGTGAAAAAATGTCAAATTGTTCACTACAGATGATTTGGTAAGCAAAGTAAGCACTGTGCTTACCTTGGCAGTTGGATAATTCACCCCTGTCCACACATACAGCATACCGGGACACTATAAAGACATTTGCTAAAGAAAATGAAAAGAGAAAAAAAGGTGGAGTGGTGTAGTTAAACAACCCTATGGCTTGTAACTGGAGCTCTGTTGCTAATGAGACTTGAGGGTTTGGAGATGCAACGTGATTGTCTGGAAAATGGGCATAATACCTGCTCTAACAACTTTAACTTTGGACGTGTTATCAGGAGGGAACAGTCCCTGGAAAAGGGCATCATACTTGGTGGAGGGTCAGCAAAAAAGAGGAAGCCCCTTGATGAGATGGATTGACACAGTGGCTGTAACAATGGGCTGAAGCATAACAAAGATTGGGAGGATGGCACAGGACCGGGCAGTGTTTCTGTTGTACACACGACTGCTATGAGTCTGAACCGACTTGATGGCACCTAACAACAACTTTATAAAGGGTTGGGAGAAGTATCATGTATGTGAGAGTGCTTTGTGAACTAGCTATACAGACAATTTTTAATCCTCAAAACTCTATACTCTTGGCTCTGCTTTAATGTTAGCCCCCAGGGATGGATGTGGCTCCATCTATGACAGATGCTTTTTCTTTTCTGCCGTTATCTGGAGGGCCACTTGCCTTTTTCTTAATCAGGGAGGGTAAGGTGTCCTGCCAAGACCTCATCTTTCCCTACAATTGTAGGTTCTCCCTTGTTTGTGAAAGAACCGGGAAAAGATTTGCATAATCTCAGAGTGGAAGGCGATCACAGAGAGAATCTGGCCCAGCTCTCCCCCGTGCAAAATACTCAAGGGGGGGCCCAGCCTTACCTCAACGCCTGAATGGATGCAGTGACCCATTCTGGCTGGTTCCACAAGAAGGGTCTTCCTTCCCACAGTGGCTTCCACTAGGGCCAACTGTGCAACTTGTGCACTGTACAACCGCAGGGGTTGCCATCTTCCGATAAATGGCAGAGCTGGATTTTAAAACCAGGACTCATGCCAGCAACCAAGTTTCTACTACTTCATTGTTCCTTGTCCTCTTTTAATAACATTTTATTGTTTTCAGTGAAGGTTTACACAGCAGTGTAGGTTCCCATTCAACAAATTCTGCACAAGTTGTTCAGTGGCATTGGTTACATTCTTCGCAATGCATGAACATTCTCATTATGTCTCTTCTGGTTCCATTTCCATTAGCTTCCCTGCGCCCTTATATTCTCATCTTTGTTTTAAAAGTAATTGTCTCATATAGGTGATATTTTTAAAGGAGCACAGTACTTACGGGTGATATTTTTTGAGTCAATTGGTTTAACTACAAGATGACCTCGGGTTAGTTTTCATTCAAGGTTTGAAGAGTGTATCAGGACAGTAGTCTCGGGGAGTCCTCCAGTCTCAACCAGCCCAGTAGGCCTTTTTTTTTTTAATTTTTAGGAACTTGAGTTTCTACTCCACCTTCTTCTCCCATTCTATCAGGGTCCATCTGTTGTGGCCCTGATTACACAGCTGGTAGTGGTAGTCGGGCACCATCTAGTTCTTTTGATCTCAGGGTAGATGAGGCTGTGGTTCATGTAGACTATTTGTCCTGTAGATTAGTTTCTTCTTGGAGTCTTTGGTTTCCTTCTTTCTCTTTTGCTCTGGATGAGTAGAGACCAGTAATTGTATCTTAGATAGCCACTCACGAGCTTTTAAGACCCCATTCCTTGTCTTGTTTTATAAGTTTAATTATTCTTCCATTGTAATTTATCACCTACATTGATCCCATACGGTCATGGGACATTATGCCCCAGTTGTCTAAATCCATGACCAAGTTCAATAATGCACCCAGATACTGGACTTCTTTCCCTGTTTCTGTCCACCCTGCCCCTCAGTCCTGTTCTCTAGGATCATTTTCTATAACAAACTGCATGAAAGCCCTTATCTCAGGTTCTGCTCTCTGGGGGGATAGGCTGAGACAGTTGGACTGAATAGGGTGAATGAAGTTCACCTGAACCAGGATTTAGTCGTGACGACACCTGCTAAGTGGTTCAGTAGAATTCTTGCTTTCCATGCAGAAGACCCAGGTTTGATTCCTGGCCAATGCACCTCATTCGCAGCCACCACCTGTCAGTCAGTGGAAGCTTGTGTGTCGCTATGATGCTGAACAGGTTTTAGTGGAACTTCCAGACCAAGACAGACTAGGAAGAAAGGTCTGGCAATCTACTTCCAAAAAACCAGTCAGTGAAAACTCTATGGATCACAATGGTCCAATCCACAACCTATCCAGCAGCATTTGTTCCATTGTGCATGGGGCTGCCATGACTTGGGGCCAACTTGATGGTAGCTACCACCACCACCTTTTTCAACTTGTTTATTCTACCTTAAAACATGCTGTCCTTGAGTCAACTGACTCATGGCGACCCATGTGTTGCAGAGTAGAACTGCACTCCACAGTTTTCAAGGCTGTCACCTCTGAGAATCAGAGTGCTAGGCTGTATCTTCTAAGTCACCTCTGGGCGGGCTCAAGTCACCAACCTTTTGGTTAGTAGTTGAGCACCACCCAGGACTCCTTTATTCCACCCTAGCCCTGGAAAACAAGCAGGGCAGGGATTAGTATGCCAATCATAAGGATACTGAAAAAGAAATCAAAGCACTTAGCACCTATGTTCTAGTTTTTAAATAGGGTGAATAAGTAAATTATTTAAAAAGAAAAAACAAAACCCCAAACTGAGTTGGTTTCAATATATCATGCAATAACAAAACAAGGTTATTAGGTTAAAGGTCACAGTTTGAAGGTCTTAACTATCAGATTACAAGCTGCACCTACCATTTAAGTGGTTTTCTCAGTTTCATAAACTGATCAAAGGTCATTTTAATGGTTCCATCTTATGAGATTCCAAAAAAAAATTACATCCTTTAGGATAATTAAAAAACCACTTTATTCCATGGGAACCAAGGTTTTTTCATCCTGTGCTCTCTAAGAAGCTACCTAGAGCTGCAAGGCAGTGTTTCACAGGGAGCGTCTGTGAAATTACTTAAACAAAACAAAGAAAAAATGCTCATTTGTGCAGGGATTTTGTTTGCGGGCAGTTCTGGTTTTTTAACTTGGAAGTTGTATTTTTCTCTTTACCCAAAATATGTGTGTTTATGCAACCAAGGACAAAGAACAAACACAATTATTGCCACCTAGAGATGATAATTTATTGTTTTACCATGACCCAGAAGAGAAACAACATAAAGAGAGTATTTATTACAAGTCCCCACAATTTTCTTCCCTAACCTCACTACTCTAACATTTCTTTTTCAGACACCATTGGTCTCCTAAAATGGACTGCTGACTATAAGTGAGTATAAATTTTATTCTGCTGCCACTTCTCTTGCTTATCATTGAAATTTTAGGCCCCCATCAAGGTTTTAAATTATTATTTTTAATGTGAGAGTTCCCTAGCTTTAAAACATACAAGCAAAAAAACCTTTCCCTCTAAGATCCCATTATTTATCAAAAGAAACGTTTCTAGAAAGGTTATGAGGATTTTAAATGAACACATTTAATTTAAAAATCATTTATTAAACATCTACCAAGCATCTGGACTCTTCAGACTACTGAAATGAAAAAAAAAATCCAGTTTTTTAACAGCAATAATTTAATTCTGCAGGTATACAAAGATTAAGTTTCTTCTTTTGGTCTAATTTTTTCTAAACTAAGAAACAGGGAACTGAAAAACCAGGAAAGGTTGTCTTACCCAGTCTACAATAAACAAGACAATGCCTGAGTTAGCTTTCTCTATATAGATTTAGGCTTATCATGTTGACCTGATGGTAATAATCTATATTTAACTAAAAGTTAATAAAAATACATATGCTCATTTTAAAATAATTACTGATTTTGCTTGCATCCCACCCCTTACCCCTAAACTCATGTATTTTTAGAACGAGATTTTCCTGCATAATCACAATCTGCTTCCTCCCACCCCACCCTCCTCATGTATGTTTTCAAATAAGAACCCCTGCTACTAGCAGAAGCATTTCTAAGTCTAACATGCTTTCTCCTTGCTAGGGTAGATTAAAAATTTAAAGAGCAGCTAAATGCTGTTCAGCTGGCTGAGGTGAAGAGGGAGGCAAGCTAGCACTAACCCCAACACAACCCCCCAAATTTCTCTTCTCTCCTTCTCATGCCTCCCTGTTATTGTTAACAACCCTCCTTCCTCTTTCCCCTCCCAAAGCACCTAACCTTGTTGGAGACTAAGTGATTTTGGACTACTGCAGCTGCCTGGTCCCTTCCCTGGACCAAAGGAACATAAAACTCCAATCTGAAACTGGAATGAAATCCAAGTTTCAGTACCACCTTCCAATCACTCACAGATCTCACTCTTCAGATCTTCAAACACTCAGCCTCACAGCTTAAGGAGTGCTTGGTGAAGGGAGAAAATTTAAAGATTAACTCTGCTGATTATTGTATGATGAGTCATGATTATTTAGTAAATAGCAGTGAGAAATCTCCAAGATTAAAAAAATAAAGCTGTTAAAGTACAGCAGACCAGAGTTTAGAAGTCTACATAATGTCTGCTCTTCACCTTCCACTGTTTCACGATAACAGAGAAAAGTATGAGTTTTGTGGTGTCCAATATGAAATAGAACCAGATGGTATGAAACCAAGTTGTCATGTTAAGACATTCTGTATTACGGGATGTCAAAAGTATTCCCCAAATTTTTGTTTGGCCTCAGAACTGGAGATGGCTTACCTCCCTGTAACTTCAAGTTTGTTTTACAAAGCTTTAAAAAGTGAAACAGATAATTTCATTTTCAGATATAATAAAAAAAAAAATTAATCTGAATAGCAAAATAAGTTACTGCTTTTAAATGTAGTGTCCATTCTAAAAGTGCAACCTATGTTGGGAAAACTTTTCCAACAATGCTTTTACTTAAATGTTTCAGGAGTAACTGAAATTAAAAAAATCTATTTCTATGAAAAGATCTGAATTTCCTTTTCTCTGATTCTGTACTTTACTTAGCAGTTTGCAGAGCTTCATTTAGTTTTCTAGATGGGGAGCCCCAGCCCTTCATAAATATTTCTCAGAAGTTGCTCAGAGTAGGATGTAGAAAAATATGGCTCCTCTGGCAAGTACTGCTGCCTCTGTTTTTCTACATATTAATACTGTTACTCCAATTCACACAGAGTCTTCTATGAATACGGCAGGTTGAGCCTCATTAACTTTGGATGAGTAGATTACAATGGCTAGACACTGGAATAAAGATGACTTTAGGATAAAAATTAAAAAAAAATAAACCCATAGCTATGAATGTTAATAAGTGCTCTCTCCTAATACTCAGAAACCTGGAGAAAGTATACAGGAACATAGCCAAAGAAAATATTACAAAATTGCTTCTTCTGCCTTATCAGAAAAACTTCTTGCAATGCCAGAACTGGATGCATCTGTGCTTATCTTCCTGGAAAAAGCCCCCTTGGATGTCTTCTTATCCCAAATTTTCTAAGCATGAAGATTTGAGTCAGTAGGGGAAGCAGGACTATGGTTTATAGAATCTGGTCAAGTGGTCCCACTGGACTTTCCAGCATGTTCCCTGCTCTCAATTGGTGGAGAAGCCCCTCTCACTCCTCTTCCTGGTTTTGATGAGAAAACTCTCAGGAAGCTGTACATGTTTACAGGAATTGTTCCATTTCAGTGCCCTGTCTCTCCTAATGAATTTACTAATCTCTCCTCTTGATTTGATAAGCATCAAACTATGAAGCTTATCATTTTCCCCCTCCTCAGTTCTGTGGAACTGACTTTTCATCTATAACCACACCAGTTTCTTCACTAGTCACTCTTTTGGAGTGATATGTTCTGTCAAATAGATTAAAATATATAACATGTTTACAGGGAATTTATAGAACAGAAGTTGGAGGTACAAAACAGACACTGACAGTATGGCCACACGAAATGTGTAAAGTACCCCACATGAACAATTTTTGCAAGAAGTTGTACGTTTTGCTATTTCTTTAGCATTTCCATACTTTTCTTCTTCTGTGGATTCTCTGGAGTTGTGAAGATTGAGCTCCCTCTGCAGTGTTTCTGAAATTCATTACATGATTAGAATATACTGATGGAATTCATTTGCTGTCCAATGCAATGAGTGCTCTATGTGAAATTTTTTCTCACACATAACATTAATAAAGTTTATTTACAATGTAAGCTTTCTGATGCTAAGGACTGAAATGTGATTAAAGGCTTTGCCGCATTCATCACATTTAAGAGGTTCTTTTCCGGAATGAATTCTCTGATGTATGTAACATGTGGACTGTTCCACATAACATGTCCATATCTCTGCACATATTTAGCAGTTTTACTTTTATGCTTTTAATAAAATATTAAGTGCCTTACATATCAAGATGCCTCACACATCTGTATTCTCAGGTTTTAGCCTTGTCGGCCAGGCTGCAGTAGAAACAAACAAGTATCCCACAACCTGAAGAATTTTACTTCTCTTCCTGGCAAGGGTGGGGTATATTTTTTAAACCCTTCAAAAACTTCCATTAGGTCAACTAGCATGTCAATGAATAACTACAGAGCACTTAAAACTGTTAACAGACTTCAAATTTTTGAATGATTATCCCGAGCACTAATTAGGCATTGCAAGCCTTTTTGACCATGACCCAGTTACACTTTGCACTGAGCATCTGATCATAAATGCAACGGAAACAGTTTTAATAAACAGTCGCAGCCTGAGATTTTTCTCAGAAATACAACTTCAAACAGCTTCTTCACAAAGTGCAGCAGCTGAAGATCTGAAGCAACTCCAGTGGCTATCCCACAAAATCAATACAGTGTCCCAATAAAATGGGAATTGAATGTGGGGGACACTGGTCATATTTAACCAACTTTCATTTAAAAGACAAATACAGATGAATTATGATGTCAGGATATAGCTGTGGCTTTAAAAAAATGAAAAAAAAACCAGGCCAATGTGGGACCAACCAAAGTTCTTTCTTACTAAGAACAAAGGGAAGTCAGTGCTTTGACCAGTGCCTGGAGTTAACATGCACATCCCTACTCTCTCAGTTGCCTCCTAGCAGGCAAAAGTCCTTGCTCAAAAACAGCAGCGGTTTTCTATGCAACCATCACTGTGGCTTACTCTTTGAAGAAAATCCTTAGAGTATCTCTTCCCCTCCATTTTACTATAAAAAGTTACTTAGGTATACTCTTTTGGAGTATCTCTTCTGTTTTTCTTAAACTGGATGGACAGAAATATTCTGATAACTAGTTGGCTGACTACTTGAGGTTTCCCAGGCAACACTGATGGAACTGCCTGGAAGCTATAGGGAAGCTGTGGTTGGTTTACGTTATGAAGCCAAAGAGAGGCCAAAGAATTACTGCTGTGCAGAACTTCTATCTGGTCTGAAGCCCGAGACCACATATGACCTCACCTCATTGGCTCCCCATGAAGCCATGCTGCCTCATGGACTTTTTAGTTGTTGGTCACTGAACAAACTGATAAGTTATAGTTTATTTCTTGAGGGAAAATCTCAGACTATGTGGGGTTCACCAGTTATGGGGTCATGACAGTCTTCAGGTTTATTAGTCTATGTTGCTAAGTTTCTTCGGGGTTTCCCATAATCATTTGCTTGTCTTCATGAGCAGAGGCACCTCTACCCAAGGCCAGATGACTACCTATATAGCCCATGATACTTGGGTCTCCTGTGTGTACATGGAAGTTTCCGTTATTAGCTTCTAGGCAGCCAACTGCATCCTCCTGCTCAGATGATGGAAAGATTAGTTTTATAACTTCACCTCAGTCTTTAGTGATGAGAAACAGAAAAGATACTGCATTGTAACTACGATACAACCAACCACATCTTGTTACGCTGATGAACTTCGCAGAGCAACAAAACATGTTTAGTAACTGCCAAGTAAGGATGTCAAATGCTTTTGCAAAGTTTCTAGAAAAGTGTGGAGAAAAGGCTCCCTACAACTTTCCTTTTTCTGAAAAGCAAAAGAAAAAAAAATTATCTTCTGAACTATATTGTCTACAGTTACAAATGTTTCACAAAGTACCCAAATCATCACGTTGTTCAGCAGCTGACTGAAGTGAATTCTGGCTAAAATCTTTGCCGCAGAAAGATGTCAGAAAAATGGCCTTCGTCAATGTTCGTATTTTTTCTGCCATCTTGTGGTATTTACTCACCGATCCATGTTTAGAAAAAGTCTATGCAGGCAGCTAACCAGCATCTTTCCTTTATATTTAGGACAAAATTAGCATTAGATCCTAGAGCTTTAGCATGTCTCACGACACTGATGGTACTCTTCAGAAAAGTTGGGCCAGGTTACTATATTTCAGAGGACTTTATCAGAAATGTGAAAGCTCTGTCAAAAGTCAGTCATAATGAATGCCTCTTATGTGTGCAGCACTGTGCTCAGTGCTGTGAAGGATATAAACATATCCCTTGACAACTGAAGCATCTCTTGCGGATTGATAGAAACTTACATACGTGAAACAATTAAGGATTAAAAGACAGCGTACAATCAAGTGCTAAACTGTAGAGAAATGCATTTTGGAGTGCTATCGTGCTTTAGGGATTTCAAGAAGGGAAGTTTTTTGTTTTGAGTTGTGTTCCCATTTCAGTAGAATTTACCTCAGTGATGAGGACAGAACCATCTACATTTGTTGCAGTCCTTTTGAACTGTAGACTGGTGCACATACCCCCTTTCAGGATGAGATAGAAATCTTTGGTTTGATACTGATCAGCAGTCCTAGATTTCTATAGCTTTGGTAGGCTACCAGCGATCATACATATAACTTACTGTATATGTAACTAGTTTGAGCAGCATGTCCCAATGTAATTTTTAAAAACTGTCCCTCTTCTTTGAGAAAGATGTTGGCCAAGTAGGGCTTGTTTGCAGCAAGTAGCTTCTTAACCTTGGTATCACTTTCACGGAGCCAATCTTAATGACTTTCACCTTGTATGCTGTGGTTGTGGCGCCTTAAAGGTATCCTCATTACTAAAAAGCTTGACATTTTACTGTGTGCGTGCTTTTATCTTGTGTGGAAATATCATGTGGACTATCCATATGACTAGGTTTTCCCTGCAGGGGCTGTGTGGAAGAATTACATGCCCACAGACTACACAAAGGTAGAACACTGCTGATGTAACTATAAGGATCCTTTAAGTGTGACTTTGATTTTTTTTAAATTTTTGAGGCTTTTTTTTTTTCCTCTATGTGCATACATCTCTGAATTTTAGAAACAAAAGGGGGAAATGGCTTGTGGACAAACTCTCCCTTTACACACAACTTTTCAGGAATGCTCCAAATGCATCAAGGGAGGCTGGGCTGTAATCAGAGGCTCTCTCTCGAGTATGAATTCTGTGGTGCAGAGTAAGGGTTGAGCTCCGGGTGAAGGCCTTGCCACACTTAGTGCACTTATAAGGTTTTTCTCTGGTATGAATTCTCCGATGCAAAATAAGGTATGAGTTTCGGTTGAAAGCTTTCCCACATTCACTACATTCATAGGGTTTTTCCCCTGTGTGGATCCTCTGATGCTTAGTAAGGTCTGAGCTCTGGCTGAAGGCCTTCCCACATTCATTACATTCATAAGGTTTTTCTCCAGAGTGGATCCTCTGATGTAGAATGAGATTTGAACTATGACTGAAGGCTTTGCCACACTCATTACATTCATGAGGTTTCTCTCCTGTGTGGATTCTCTGATGTAGGACAAGGTTTGAGTTAAGACTGAAGGCTTTCCCACACTCATTACATTCATAGGGCTTTTCTCCAGTATGGATTATTTTATGGCGAATAAGGCTTGAACTCCTTGTGAAGCATTTGCCACATTCATCACATCTATGAGACTTTGTTCCCGTTGGAACTTCCTCAGGGGTATTAAAGTTTGAACTCAAACTGAAACTTCTTCCCAATCCTTTACCCTTCTCCCTTGGGCCTCTCTCTCCTGTGGTGGGTTTTTTTCCCTTGATTGTAGCTGGCCCCAAATCTCTCTTCTCTCTTCCGTTTTTCTCCTCTGAGTTTCTCTGCTGCCTTTCTGTTATTCTGCCCTGCTGTTCACGTTTTTCTCCAAACACTTTCTGGACTTTTCCTGTTGTTTCCCCATGTGATGCTGAGTCTTCTGCAACTTTAGTCTTTGAAGTTGACTCCTCATTCTCATTCCTGTTTCCACAACCTGACACAATAAATAGAAAATACAAATAGCACCTTTTTCTTTTGAACACATAAGTTAATCAACTGACATGGTTTTCCAGGAAGCTTCTACATGCCTGCAAATGACTTCACAATATTAACTGGAGATAAAGTAGGAGGAAAGGGAAAAAAAAAATGACAACAGGGAGAAGGGTTGGAAAATGAGAGGGCAAGCAAAGAGTAGAAAGGAAGGGGAAATAACAACAGAGGGGGCATACAGAGAGGATGGGAATAACAGACACATTGGGGAATGAGTAGAAGGACCAGAACCAGTTAAATATGGAAAGGATAAGGAATTAAGAAACCAAGAGGTCATGATTCTACGATTTGGTTACCCTGTAATTTGAAGCAACAAATATACATTTTTAAAATCATGTTCTGTTTCTAACATAAGTATTTAGACGTTTAAAAAACAGAGACTGGACAGGTCCTTCCAAGAAAGTGGTAAGAAACATTAGCAGAAAGAAAAGAATGTAGTTAATAAAGAAAAATAGAATACTCCTTCAGTTCTGTGAGATTTTTAGCAACAAGATGTTAACAAGCATACAAGGTGCTCTGCACTTGGCTGGCTACATGGACTTTCCAAAACAGGAAATAGTTCCTCTCTGCCAGGGAGAGCAGTATAGAGCTAACAGTACTCAAGTAACAGAGACGAGGATGAAGAAGTTGGTTGGGACATTAACAACAAAAACAAAAAACCCACTGCCATCGAGTCAATTCCAGCTCATAGGGACCCTACAGGACAGAGTAGAACTTCCTCATAGGGTTTCCAAGGCTATAAATCCTTATGGAAGCAGACTGTCACATCTTTCTCCTGTGGAGCGACTGGTGGGTTTGAACTGCTGATCTTTTGATTAGCAGCCAAGTGTTTAACCACTGCACTACCAGGGCTCCTCTTTGGGGCATTAGTAAACATAATGAAAAGCCTCCACTGACAGACAAAGGAGAATAATAGAGACCAGAAAAGAAACTGAAAATTCCTGAGATAGACCATGAATGAGATGAGAAAACAAAAACTCAACAAATGTAGAGCTTTATCCTCCCATTTTAGCAATCAGTATACTAAAACAGTCAAATTTATTATTTTGTACACTGCTATATTCTGTATATCACTTTGCTTTTAAGTGGAGATAGAAAATTGTTCATAAACGTGTGCCATTTATGTATGTTTACGTTTGTCTAGGAAAACTAAAGTACCCCAACTCTTCTTTATTTAGTTGGCCTTAACGAAGCTTTCTAGTGGGTCTGTGCTATCCTAAATAGGCCCCTGAGGGCACCTTATCCAAGGAGCTGGAAAATATCCACCCCCGGACTTTAGTGATGAAATCACCATAAACACTGTACCAGTTGTGAAAATGAAAAAATCAGACCATTTCTTTTGGATTCCAAGCTAAAGTTCTTGGCTATCTGTACAGCTCCCAGACTGTTCCCGATGTTTTTTTAAGTTACTGGAGTGAGTAATACCCACCTCATAAACAAGGATCAGTTCTTTGGCTTAATTTTCATCTAGTCCAAAGAACAAGTACCAAGAAACCATAAATCCCATTTATACCTATGGTTCAAAACAAAACCTGAAGTTTCTTTAGTAACATCCCTTTATTCACCCTCCCTCTTTCCTTCCCAGGTAGAAGGCTCACTGTGGACTTGCCTATTACAGTACTTATTTGAGGGATACTTGTAGCGCATTCTTAGGCATTAAGGTCTAGCAGAGACCAATGTAAATGTTCCAAAATAAATTCTTTTGCTGGTACTGCCTGGTAAACTAATACTGCCCTGACTGAGAAGTAAGCGTATTAGGAGAGAAAATCAACTGTGTCACCTTGTCTCATCTGGATGATACCTCTTAGGACTTCTTTGTTCCTTTCTTACTACGCATCCAGGATCCAGAGCTCTTCACAGAAGATCGTGATTAGGTTTGGAAACTGGGAATCCTGATCATAAGGAAGGTACGGGGGCAAGTTCGTGGAGTTACACAAAGCTGTCTCTGAGCACTGCTCACACAGAGTGGAAAAAAACAAAGTCAATGAAAGGATGCTTGGTAGGTTCAGATATGTGCCAGGACTGCAGGTTGGGATTAGACTGATGATCAGTTCACCTGGCCCTCTCCACTAGGAAATACAGGTACTCCTCTAGCAGGGGGACATAAACTGTAACCCACCAGGAGTGGAGCAGAATCTTCTCAGGTAACTAGATGCTGGAAGAAGTGAGAACTCAGAGCATAAGAGTCTGTTTCTCATTTCAAAGAGCAAAAACTACCTAGGTATAAAAAAAAAAAGAAAGAATCACTTTGAATCAAGGAGTCACAGTATCATGCTTTTGGGATTAAATGAACACAAATGTTCTCACTCTCTACCTGGTCCAAATAAAGGGGATCAGAATTCTCTAAATCCTCATCTACTCTCAACTGAGTACACCAGAGATCCCACAACTAACAAATAAAGAGGCAGAGAAATCTTATCAGACAATGATCCTGCATCAGTCTTACCCTGGGAAAACATGTTCCCATAAGTCTCCTGCCTGTTGTCCCTATTGAGATTCCTCCGAGCCAGGTTCTGACATCCCCATTCCTCCAGGATGAGGGACACGGCCATGTCCTCGATCTTCACCATTGCCTGAAATAATATGAGATCCCCACACTCAGTTCCTCCAAAGCTCAGGGACAATCCCATTGCCCACACCTGGAGTCAGGGAAAAGTTGTCTGCAAACATACTGGCTGCTGGGAAAGAAAATGTGGCCTTAACAGGCTCTGGTGGATTAGGGGTTTGCAGTGGAAAGACAGCAAGTGGAAAGTGGCTTCTAAGATTTCTCTGTGGGCAAGGGCATCAAGGGTGAGTGTCCTGGGAGGAGATGATAAAAGAGCTCCAGGGAGAGAGGCAAATACAAAGGACTTACGAGGGCAGAGGGGCCCACAGCTCACCTGGGAATCTGCTGTGAATAGTGCAGATGCCATCGCCTGGTCTCTGGGACTCCCCTCACGAGGAGGGGCAGGAACGTGGGAAGCAGGTAGAGCTGAGGGAGGAGAAAGGAGCTGTGAGTCAAACCAGCTCTGCTCTGAGGCCTCCCTTCAAAGAAGGACCCAGGGCCACTCTCTTTCCTGCACTAGCACGTTCAATGTTCAATTACAGAATAACTAACTACAGAGAATATATGATAAAGTATGGTCTCTGTTTTCCAAAGACTTCCAACCTCAAGCAACAGTCACAAGGAATCACAAAAAGCGTCCTTAAAATTGCCTAGTCCAACCCCTTTGTTCTAAAGGAGAGGAAACTGAGGTCCTGAGAGGGTAAAGGACCAGCCTAATGTCACAGAGTTAAGAGTGGTACAGCCAGGACTAGAACTCACATTCTTATTCTTTGCTGCAGAAGTGAGTGATAATTCAGCCCATGATTCAAATCTAGCTCTTAATTTTTCTCCAGTCCAAGGAACAGTACCAGGATATCAGAATCCCACTTATGCCTACAGCTATGAAAAATGCCATGCAGCTTTAAAAATCTTTAGCAACATCTTGAAAGGCAGATAGGAAGGGGGTCTTCTTACCTCTAGCTAAGTTTCGCCAATTTTCGTCCCTCTACTTTCTCCCTCTTTTGGCCACAATAGATAAGTTTTTTAATTAAATATATACATGGTTAAAATGCTTGTGAGATGTTTACAAGTGTATAAAGGCATGGAGTGGCACTCTTACATGATAAAGACATTTGTAATATATGATCACACTAACTACAATATGTAGGAAGAATGAGAAAAATTTTAAACTGTAAAATTAAAATCCACCTCCATCGTAAGTAATATTAGATTTGGAAATGTCATTGGTAAACAGATGAGGTTACTGAGCTGTGAAGATATTAGAGAAATAAATTTGAAACTGAATCACTAATGCCTGTAACAGTAATAAGATAAGCTAAAGCAAAAAAAAAAAATCAAGTATCTAGCACTTTGACCTTCTGTGAGTTAGGAAACACCCTGGAAGTTGAATAGGACAAAGAGGAAATTGAGAATAAATGCATATGCCTCAATTCACCCGAGAATTACTGAATGACAATTATATGTACCAGCATCTCTAAAATGATTGCTCTGGCACCTTAAAGTTCTAATGTGGCACTTACGACCATGAATATCCACCCTAGTTTCCTGAGTTCACCCTCTCTGACTTTTGCTCGTGGAATGTGGAAACACCCTCAGATATGGTGGTGGAGTTACACATAAAGTACACTGATTTCCATGATTTCTCCAGCATATGCCTATTGCTATCCTCAGGAATGCAGAGCAGAGAATGGGTCCTTAAGCTCCATGATCTAATATTCCTATCCTAAATGTCATCACAAATAAACATAGTGCTTAAGGAACATACCTTTACTAACTCTCCTTAAAATAACTCTACTTTTATTATTTGATTGTTTTACTGTCATTCTATGCACCTACTTTGATTTTAAAATCACATAAAGATATATTTTTCTCAAAAGAAAAAAAAAAAAATTAAACTGATTCTTATTTATATGACCGTGAACTGTTTTTCTCATCTCCCTCAACCAAAAACAAATTAAAAATTTTTTCATCCTTTCTCATTGTTTGATATTCTGAATTCATTTTAAAATAATTTTGAAAAGAGTGATCTTTTTATATATCTTTATGTATTATAAGTAAAATGGGTTTAAAGATTTACGATCCTTTTTAAGATAATTTATAACATACTAGAATATTTCAAAACTTAGGCTGGAAATAATAAACTATCTCTTCCCAACACTTTCCTGTTAAAAATCTGCTTGATATCAAGGATGCTAACAATTCAATAAATAAATAATGTGATGTCCATCCAAGGTCATTAAGCATATTCCATTTCCCTCTTCAGTAATTTAACTCCTAAGAGTTGGTCCTAAGATTGTCTATAAGTTTTATTTCCCCTAGTATTTAGGAATAATGACAATCATGTATTACAAAAACAAGCATGCGTTTTCATTACAGGCACTCAGTAACAGAGAGGGGACAATCCTATCCTGAAGAGCTTTATCACATTTCAACCAATGCAGTTACTTTTTTATCCCAAATCAAATCTTCCTCCTTACCTCGTGATTGTAAGAGGCGGGGTTTCCGAGATGAATGCTTGAAATGTGACTGGGCAGCCTCAGGATGAAGCTCAAAGCTGGAAGACTCCTGTACTGGATCCAGAGGCACCATCCCCCTTGTGAGCATCTCAGGTCCATGAACTTGACCTGGGACCTGAGGACAAACAGGTTGGGCTTGTGAGTAAATCACTTTTCAAAATAGGAATTAAAATATTAAAGAAGAAAGCGTAAGTATACCAGTGGATGCTGGGGGGCAGCAAAGGCCAGAATACATTTTAATATGCGAGGGGAGCAGGGAGAATAACCAACATCAGTTACTTTCTCCTTAATCCAGCCTCAAAGTCCACACCCTGCTAAAACAAAATAGGTTTCACCTCTTCTTACCTGCTGTCCTGATAAATCAAGCTCCAAATCCTCCAAAAGGGTCACAGCCTCCTCTCCACTATCTGGACGGTATTCCTGCAGCCAGACTTGCAGCTCCTTGGGCAGAATGGACAGGAACTGCTCCAGCACTAGGAGCTCTAGGATCTGCTCCTTGGTGTTTATCTCTGGTCGTAGCCACTGATGACAAAGCTCCTTAAGTCGACTAAGAGCCTCTCGAGGCCCGAAAGTGTTCTGGTAACAGAAGTGCCTGAAACGTTGGCGGAATATCTCTGGGTCGGGAGGAGGTGTCTCCTGCAAGCTGGAATCTTGCCCCCACATGTGGTCTTCCTCATCTTCCTCTTCTACCTTCACTATTACAATACCATCCTTCTCCTGTGCAGCCTGGGGGGACAGACCTGTAGCTTCCCTTGATTCAGCAGTCATCATTCAGACTTGATCCAAATAGGGTCTGTGATGTCCCTTCTGTCCTAGGAGATGCGTTATGATATTATTTCTGTACTATTCCTGAAGTATTAAAAAAAATTAGTAAAAAGGAAAAAAAGTTAATAGTAAAGAAAATAAATTGTGAGCTGTACTGCTTCCATTGTCACTTTAAATATTAAAGTTTGCAAACAGAAACCTCAAGCAGGTGAATTCCACCCTCAGGGTGTCTGCCTGGAGTCAGAGCACCTCACTTCCAGGCAGACAGCAGGTCATGAAATCATTCATTTACAGTTCTTAGCCCGGGGAGAGATGAATGACAGCAGTGTGCCAGGCATCAGGCTTAAAGCAGTATACACACAATATTATTTCATCCTCACAGCAACACTAGCAGTTAGGCAGAACTGTTAGTATCATTTTATAGATGATATAACTGAGGCTTAGAAAGCTTAAGGAATGTGCTCAGTATCAGATGGCTACCTAGTAAAGTCAACATTCAAGCCAAACTTGAGGCTCTAGGAAATGCTGATGTACTATCTTGCTATTTTTATTATATTTATGGGTGCCTTGGTATAAGGTTAAAACTTTGGTCTCCAATGTACAAGATGATCCGCTGGGGATGCACAAAGAAAATAGCAGAATGTTTATTTCTATTGTAGAAACGAGAGCAATCAACCTATATTTAACGTACAAATAAGCACCAACACCCTTCCCTCAGTCTAAATGTTTAATCGTCACGTCACATACAGCGCGTGATACATCCCAAGAGAAGAGCTAGAGCCCCATCACACAGAGGAGTTGGCAGGGTGTCCTCACTCATTGTTAACTTTTAGGTACTTTCATGTATCGCAGTTTATCTGGGGCCAGTTATGTGGAATAATGGATCATTTTATCCAGCTTTAACTAATCTCACCTTCACAAAAGTGAAGACAAGTGGCTTAAAAGATTCTTGCAGAAAAATTACAATTAGAAGAAGTACTAATGATGCCAACACAAGTGAATAACAAAAAATGGCCCAGCTGAAGCTTCCAGCCTAGTACAAAGTCTTCCGCAGCTAGATCAGGAGGCAAAAACCGTTATCTGTATCAAACAAGAAGTCAACTTATGAGTGAGAAAGTGACTGCTTTAAAAAAATGTGAGGAAAGAACAATTATGGAAACAGATGTATGTTGGGAAATATTCCTACTGTTATGTAAATTCTGTCAAAAATGCTATTAAGTATCCTGGGGAAACTGTTACATCTACATATTTTAAAAATTTGGAAATATTTTCTGACCTGTTTAAAAATCTTCTAAATGAAAAATTTCAATGGGTCTTGAGCCCATTTGATAAAAATATAAAGCACCACCTTCTGATTAGTTTGTAACAACAACTGCTTTAAGGTTACAGAAAATGGAAATGTACCAGCTGAATTTCAACAACAAAACTTTAACGTGGTTGGTAGAGAGGACCAATCATGTGTTAACAAACAGAGCTGACAATGGAATTCTTCCGTTTGAATTTATAAATCTTTGTGAAGTATCTTTTCCACCTGGGACAGCCATCAAAACTAAGTAGCAAACTGTAGTTTTAGAAACAGACCATCCAATTGCTGTATCACCATAAGCTGAACCAAGAGTTTCAAACTTGCATTTTTAATCACACGGCTGTCACTAAAAAACTATTAATTTTAGCAGAAAAGCGTTCATGTACCTTTACTAACACAAAAATTATTTTAAAATAGCACAATTAATTTTTTGCCTTATATAAAATATTCATAGTGTGTATGAACAGTATGTATGTAAATTTTTATAAGTAATTGTTTTTACTGATAGGAAGTTGTGACCAAAAAAGCTTTAAGACTACTGTTTTAATCACAACAATATGGTTTTAATCTGAGATTCATCACAGGAGCAGCTGTTCTACTTCATGTTTTTCTTTTGAGAAATAGAAATCTTTGTTAAAATAACAGTCTATATAATAACAGTGAGCCCTGGCAGCACAGTGGTTAAAGAGTTTGGCTGCTAATCAAAAGGCTGGCAATTTGAACCCAACAGCTGCTCCATGGGAGAAAGATGTGGCAATCAGCTTCCGGAAAGATTTACAGCCTTTGAAACCCCACGGGGCAGTTCTATTCTGTCTTACAGGGTCGCTATGAGTCGGAATCGACTCGACAGCAGTGCGTTTGGTTTTTTTTAAAAGAACACTATATTCAAAAGGAGCCCTGGTGGCGAAGTGGTTAAGAGCTCAGGCTGCTAACCAAAAGGTTGGCAGTTCGAATCCACCAGCCGCTCCTTGTAAAACCTATGGGGCAGTTCTACTATGTCCTATAGGGCCACTATGAGTTAGAATTGACTCAATGGCATACAATAACATATTCAAAAAGGCTTTTTATATAAATTTAAAGGAAATTTGGGAATTAGGTAATTTCTCCAATGATTCTGAAGTGGCGAAAGTCAGTAGTGCAACCATATTCTAGCCTCTGCCACTGATTCCATCAGAATCCTTTTGTACCCCACCCTCCCTGGCTTTTCAACTTCAGATCAGCGTTATCTCTAAAGTCTTTACTGCTACACTTACTTCATTTCCTAAAAATTTCCTGCTTATCTACAATATGCAAGGTATTCTGCTAGACTGAAGGGAACAAAAAGATGAGAAGCATGATTTCTATTTTACACAAATAATTACAGTACAAAGCAAAATGTGCCAAGTGTTCTATGGAGGTTTCAATGAAAGTGCTAGAAGAGCCCCGAGGGCAAAGAAACTGACGGGTTAACAGTAAGGGAGCTTCAGGTTAACAGGAAGGGAGCTTCGTGGAAGAGGTCCCCTGGGAGCTGGGGCATCAGGAGTAGACAGGATCTCAACAGGAAGAGGTGGGGAGTAGGGCAGTCCAAGATTTCACTCCCTTGGTTAGCTTTTCCCAAGCAGAGGCTAAATAATTCCTTTAAACCTTAGTTTCTTTCACTTCCTTCTGAAAAGCAGAAAGATTGTATCTTTTCCTGTTATACCTCCCACAATTATTTACTATCACTTTATCTCTAACCTGGAGCCCCTGAGTGGTGCAAATGGTTAACCAAAAGGTTGGAGGTTGAACTCCACCCACAGGTGAGTTGAAGAAAGGCCTGGCGATCTACTTCCAATAAATCAGCCCACACAGTTCTACTCTGACGCACACTGGGTTGCCATGAATTGGAACTGACTCAATGGCAACTGGCTTTTTTGTTTTTTCTCCTGCCTAGACTAGTGCCATAGTCCCACATCATTTCTCTAGCTTTAATTCCTTCCTGTTCAAATATAAACAATGTACCAATGTCAGAACAGTATTGCCAAAACATGCCTTCTCTTCAATTACCATCACTGAATCCCTGATATTTACCAATTTAGCATTTATTCAAGAGCCTTCATGACACACCCTACTCTACTTTTCCAGTCTTATTTCCCACTACATTTCTTAGCAATGATCCCCCATATTTCAGCCTATCTGGCCTATTAATGTTCCCTAAAGATGGGCTGGAGCCCTGGTGGCACAGTCGCTAAGAGCTCAGCTGCTAACTAAAAGGTCAGCAGTTCAAATCCACCAGGTGCTCCTTGGAAACCCTATGGGGCAGTTGCACTCTGTTCTGTAGGGTCGCTCTGAGTCAGAATCGACTCGACAGCAACAGGACGAGAAAGATGGGTTGTGATTTTTCATCTTCGTCCCTTTGCCGTGAACAAGCTTCTACTGTTATCAACCCCATTGATCAAATATTTGCTCTTTCTTCAAGATAGATAAATCTCTCCTGACTTTCGGAATTAAATATCTTCCTCCTTTGAACCATCTTAGTACTCTCCTATTTTCTATCTTACGGTGCTTAATATTTTCCTTGTATTTTCATTATTGAGGTTGCAGTTCTAGCCACACCTTCCAACTAATTTTAAATTCTTTAAGGGCAGGGACTCTTGCCTTCTTTGTACTTATCTCTTAGAGCACCTGGCACAGAGTTTAACTCTGTTAAGCTAAATAAAAGAATTAAGAACTACCCAAAGGATCCCAGCTCCCCCTGTCATCCTCTTATTGCCTTTAGTGGCAATTAGTGAATAGAATATTCTAATATCCCAATCACTCAGGCTTAAAACCTTATATTCTTTGACTCCTCCCTCCTTACAAGCATTCAGTCTCCAAGCACCAGGGAGAAGTAATTCTTAGTTCACAATCATTTTCCCATCTAGTCCCATCAAGTACAGCTTCCTCTTGCTGGTTCCCTGCCTTTATTTTCTCCCTACCTCCCACCCACAATTCATTCCCTACCTTACTCTCAGATTATTCTTCCTAAACGCTTGCAGTCAATACCCTCCAGTACCTGGTTCCAATTTCCCACTCAAGCTTCATTTCTCATCAGTCCCTTCCGTGAACACTACCCACCCAGCAAAATGGGTCTAATCACTATTTCCTAATATGCCTTGTATTTCTATCTCCATCCTTTCCTCACATCATACTCAATGTCTCAGCTAATCCTCTCAGCCTTTTCAAATCCTACTTGGGTCTTGGGTCTCACTTCGTCTTCCTGCTGAGCTAAGTTTAAATGTCACTTGCTCCTCATCTCTCTTCAATTTAAGGACTCTATTATAGGAGGCATAATAGTAAGAGCCAGTGTTTACTGAGTGCTTTCTAGGTACCAGGTATTAAGCATTTCACTAAAACACAACAATCTTAGGAGGTAGGTACGATTATCATTCTCACTTTACAATGAAAAAGTGAGGTTTACTGAAGTTAAACAGCTTACCTAAGGTCACACAGCAAGTAAATGGTAGAGGCAGGATTTGAACCTAGGTCTGTGTGACTCCTCAGTGCAAGTTCTTCAATCATCATACCATACTCATTCTATAGCCAACACATGGGGTAAAGAAGGGCTTCCCTGCACATAGAGAATCTTTCTAAAATGAAGGCCTGTGAAGAATGACCAACTGTCAACTCAGGAATGGGCCTGCAGCTCCATCTGCCATCCACTGTTCTCAGCAGAGATCTGTGTGACTGAAAGCCTTCCTGTGAAAAGGGAGGAGACGCAGCAGGAGGTGCAAGTGGGGAGCATCTAAAATTTAAAGGGGTGGGGGGCTTCAAACAGGATAACTGAGTAGAACTAGAGTGGTAGCTAGCCTTGCAGCAGAATCTCTACTTCTGTGAACATTCTATCCTGTCTCAGCTACATTACTGAGAATGTGGGAAAGGAATTTTGATTTGTGCCCAGTCCTAGGTCAGAGTTTTAAAGAGCAGGATGCTCCTTGGGTCAGTGAGAATCAACAGGAAGACGAAGTGAGACTCAAAAGGACAGGGATGAGGGCATGGGCACATTTTCTCTTCTTCCACTTGGGACAGGTCCTTGTCCCCACCGCCTAAGCATTTCTGTGCTCTACTCTGGGCCAGAGAAAAGCCACAGCAATAGTGGAAGGCCTGGGTTTTATTTTAGGTTTTCAAGGTGATCTGAGCACACAGTCTTCTCTCCTGCCTTTAAATGCACGGCCCTAAAGGTCTCCACCAATCATCTGGTATGTCATTTCTTATTTTTCTTTCTCTGTAATTTAATTTTTCATGCCTTTCTCCTCAGTTGTTGTTGTCGTGTGCCGTTAAGTTGATTCTGACTCACAGTGACCCTACAGGACAGAGTAGAGCTGCCCACAGGGTTTCCAAGGCTTTAATCTTTACAGGAGCAGATTGATAGGTCTTTTCTCCTGTGGAGCTGGTGGGTTCGAACCCCCAACCTTTTGGTTAGCAGCCCAGCACTTAACCATTGTGCTACCAGGGCTCCTTAAAATGGTACACTTCTTTGTACCTCTTAGACCATTTAGCATGATTCCCTACAAACATTAGTTTTTAAAAATATTTGATTGAATTTACAATGTCACTATTTTTTTACCCATCTATAAAGCCCTCAATCTCACCCCCAAATGAGCCCTACTGGCTACTTAGAAGGGTTTCACATTAGCATTAAGTTGCTCCACCACTTCCTAGCTAATAACCTTAGGCAGTCGAACCTCTCTTTGCATCAGGTTCCTCATCGGAATAATGGGGATACAAAACAATATTTGTCTCATGAAAGTTATTGTGAGGATTAAATAAGTTAACATATACAAAGCACTTAAAACAGTGCCAGTGCCTGGCATTCATAGTGAGACTTTTGTCTCACATACTTTGGACATGTTATTAGGATGGACCAGTCCGTGGAAAAGGACAGCATGGTTGGTTAAGGGTCAGCAAAAAACAGGAAGACCCTCAATGAGATGGACTGACACAGTGGCTCTAACAATGGGCTCAAGCACAGCAACGATTTTGAGGATGATGCAGGACCAGGCAGTGTTTTGTTCTGTTGTACACTGAGTCACTATGAGTTGGAACTGATTCAACAACACCTAACAACAACATAAAAGCCATTATATTTAATTTCTCAATAAACTTAAGAGGTGTAACTGTACGTTTCAATCTTCAGTCTGCTTAAAAGATTAAGCAATGGGAGAAATCCTGTAAGTGAAAGCAGCACAGGATGGAACACCTGAATGCTAGTCTCCCACAAATAAGTCACATATTCCTGAGTAAGTTACTTAACCTCTCTGGCAGTTAAGAGTCCTTATCTGTCAAATGGGGGGTGAAGGTGAGGGCGGAGGGGCAGAGAAACCACCTTTAGGGACCCTTTGAGCTGAAAAACTGAAAAACATTCTGACATCCAATGCACTTTAGATAAGATTATCCCCGGCAATCAGTTCTCACCAAGGATAAATACAAACTATTTTCTTATAAAAAAGGCTTGGAGTTACAAGCTTCGTTTATTCCAAGATTATTTTCTAAACAGGTCAGTATCTCTTCTAGGGTGTAATACTGAAAAGTCAAATAACCTGCACCTCCATTTTTTAACAGCTGTAAGCTGTTTTAAAGTATGAAAAAGCTACCTTTAAAAGACAGCTACCTATCCAAAGAATACTGATACCACTTTAGAATGAAAAGGTAAGATTTAATATAACCATAGTCTGTATTTAGATGCAATATAAAATGTGAGAAAAATTTAGAATGTCAAAATTGGTGAAAACTGCCTGAAATGATGAACAAGAACTGCACATTTTAGAGTCAATATAAACCTGGAGCAACATTCTGGGGCAAATTCTCATTATTGATCCCTGTGTAATAAAGCTATTTCTCCACATTTGGCCAGAATATAGTAACAGCGCTTTGTTGCTGGCTGCAATGAATTCTCCACAATTCAATTCTACAAGTATTTATTGAAGGCCTCCAATCCGCCTAGCACTGGCCTGTACAATAAATGCTTTCTTTGGTCCCAGGCCATGTAACAGCCACTCTTTATAATGAAAGTATCGTATTGTGTACTGGACGCACTGCAGAAAAGGAGGGGAAGGGGGTAACGTTAGGCAAAACCGTAGCTGAATTTTTCAGTTACACTGACCAAATAATTTCAAAGATGGAAGGGCCTTTTGAGAAATCTAGTTAATTTTATTGATGACAAAACTGAGTTTGTGAATGTCTTGTCTCATCCAAGGTCACTCAGCCAGTCAGTCTCCTAATGGCCCAATGCAATTTCTACAAATTTCCTTCACTCTTTACGCACTCCAAGTAAAGCAGATGAATTACCAAAAATGAAAAATCCATCTATCTCCCAGACAACTTTTTAAAAAATCCTAGAAAGCTGGAAGAAAGAGAATGGGATGTATATATTCTCTACTAGATCTGAATCACTATGACCAGGCTTCAAATATTCTTTAATCACCCTTAAGTGGCGGGGGTGGGGTGAGGGAAAACAGGTGATCTGAAAACACGTATGCGGCACGTCAAAACGTGTCCATATCGCGGCCTTCTGCATTTTACTCCTTGAGGTTCCAGAGTTCTCCGAAAAAAAAAAAAAAAAAATCTCTCACCGGAATTAAAGCAAATGGCGACGAATGAAAAGCAGAAAAATAGGGTCGCTTACGACCCTGTTCTCAGAAACGTCAAACGACTATGACGACACTGCGGGCGAGGCACCCCAAGTTTCCGAGGCACCCCATCCCAGTCCGGCCACTAAACCCTCGCCGTTCCCCGCCTGGGCCCGGGGATGGGGCGGGGATGTCTCTCAGACGACGCTTCCTACAGCCGGGCATGGGAGGGGGCAGGGGCATGGACTCTCTTCACACTCCGCCCGGGCCGCCGGGAGGGGGATCCCGGTGCCGCAGCTGCAGAGCCCACCCTCACGCACACACCCCTGCGCCCCCGCCCGCCCTCCCCAGAGGCCAGACCCAAGTCTCACCGTGAGCCCCGGGAGCGCCCTGGGGGAGCTGGGCGAAAAAGGGGAGCTGACTCTGGGGTTCAGGCCGGCCGAACGGCGCTGGACACAAACCTAGGCCCTCCCGATGCCTCGACACAGACACAATGAGTCACAAAGACCGGAAGTGTTTCAGAGTCTCGCCTTCCGGGACTGCGTTGCGCTTCCGGGACCTCTCTAGGAGTGCGGGAGGATTTTGCATCTCGGTTCCCGAATCTCTGGTCTCAGCTCCTGCCCTTGGGTGGTCATGGCACCCGCTTTGACGTTTCCTGGCCTCAGCTTGTCCGCCCAGAGGAAATGCGGGGGAAGGTGGAAATGGGGCTCAGGTTTTACTTGATACAAACAGACGCTCCAGTTCAGGCAGCAGTCCGTATGATGATTCGATTTCTCCTGTCTTTTCCATCTCGGGCAGTGCTTGTAATAATTATAGTTATTATCAAGCAATAATAATACTTAGTAATTGTATGTCTGTCGCGGAGAAACTGAAACAGGTGTGTAGACAGAGGAAGATCAAAGTGAAGCCAGGATGGCGGGTTTCACAAAACTGCAATGGTTGCTTCTCTTGGGACCCTGGAGATTTGTGCCAATTGAGTGGGTGGTATTTTCAAATACTTGGCCTGTGGACAAAGGACGTCTTTCTACAAACAAGATAGTTTTAAGGTTCTGTGTTTTGCTGTTGCGGCATATGCTATTATAGCAGTTTAAAAGGAATTTTCTGAGTAATAACAGGCACTCTTTTCTTTCAAGGTGCTTTCACACCTGCATCCATTATGGCCTTTACATCAAACCCATGGATTTCGGCAGGAGTAACTCTCCATCTTCTTTGAAGGGTTTGCTCTCATAGCGGTTCACTCAACTAATAACCTAAAGGTCGGTGATTGGACCCCACTCAGCGGGAAGAAAGGCCTGGTGATCTGCTTTCCTTTAGATTCATCAGGCAAATCAATTTTCCACTCATAGCAAGTCCATGTGACAGAGTAGAGCTGTCCCGTAGGGCAGTGGCTCACTAGGGGGGTGGAGGGTTGCAGACCACAGTGGGTAACACTGTTAGAGGGGGTGACATCAAAATGACTGTCTATAAAATTTTTGTGCAGTGTTTCAGCAGAAATGTATTATTTTTTATAAGAATATCCCTGTAGTGAGTTATAAGAACAAAAACATGTTTCATCAGCCCAGCTTCCAAGTATCAATATACCTACAAGGCTAATTTACTTTTTGAACCTTCCAGTGCGGTCCAGTCAGAGCTGCCATTATTACCCAATTACAATGATTCTTCCAATCATGTGGTTTCATCTGCAGAGGCTACAAACACTCGCTGTCGTTTTCCTTGCAGCAGATGTTTTTATAGTCCCCGATTTTGTCAAATTTTCCGGTGTTTTAGCTACAGTATTGTGGTAAGTAATAGGGATGATTTACTCACTCATCAGCAAGAATTTATATTGTTTTTGCGGCCGACTGTTTGCTGTTAGTGCTACAGATACAACATCCACATTTGTGCCTGGGTTTCAGAAGTGGTGGAAACTGAGCCTTAGAGTACATAACCATGAGACGTCCGAAGAGCACCTACGTTGCCTTGAAAAGTGGAAAGCATTGGCAGCAGGACTGAGGCTGCACAAAACCACTGATGCTAAAACTATTGCTTTGATAGAAATGGAGAAGAAAAAGTGGTGGGACAGCTTGCACAGATTGCTTGACATCACATTGTTTCTTGCCAAGCAGAATTTGGCATTCCGTGGCCACAAGGAAGATGAACCTTCATTAAATAAAGGAAACTTTCTTGAGATGGTTGAGATGCTTTCAAAATACAATCCAGTGCTGAAAGAGCACCTAATGAAATTAAAGCAGAGCACATGTAAACTTAAAGTATCAGGCTCTTATCTTGCACCCAAAACTCAGAAGAAGTTTATAAGTGCCCTGGCAAATCACATGGAGGAGAAGCTTGTCATGGACATAAAGTTTGCAAAGTACTTTGGGATCATGTTTGGCAGCATACCTGGCATAGCGCATACTGACCAGATGTCCAAAGTGATCAGATATGTAAAAATCAACGATAGAAAGTTGGAGTGAAAGAAGTTTTCCTAGGAGTTTTCTCTTTAAAGGGGAAAAAAGCTGTTGACCTCAGTTCTGACAGTCTTAAAATACTGGAAAATGATGGACCGGACATCATAATATGCTGTGCTCAAGGTTACGATAATGCTGCCACTATGGCTGGAAGCCATGGAGGTGTACAAGCCATTCTTAATGGGAAGAACAAAAAAATGTATTTATAATGAATATGTGGACCATTGGCTTAACTTGTGTGGTCAGCACTCTTTTGCTGAAAATGCATCCTGTGTGACATTTTTTGGAACTCCTGAGACAATGTTTCTTTCTTTGCTGCTTCCACCCATGGATGGGATGTGTTAATTGACCATACTGGAGTGTCAATGAACGGCTATCACCAACACACTGGAGTGCTCATCATGCTGCGGTTAAGCCAGTTAAAGAAAAGTTCAATAAGTCTGTGGTGGTGATGGAAGCTCTTTGTGATCCACGTGAAGATTTGGACACAAGAGGAGCAGCGCGAGGTCTTTTGCCTGCTGTCTGTGATTTCGCTTTTCTGTGCTATCTGTATTTCTGGTGTATTGTACTTCAGGAAGGTAATCTTACACAGCAGCACCTGCAGACTAAGGGCTTAACTCTGGACAGGGTGGTGACAAGGCTAGAGGCTCTAAGGCTTTTTCTGCATGAGGAGTGCAGTCACCTAGTGGAGCATGCAATTAAACAGGCGCTTTTAAAATCAGACGAATATGAAATTGCAGTATAGAGAAGAGCCAGGTTCAAGAAGAGGATGGCAGGGGATGGGGAGAAGGCAAGCGATGCTGGGCTCTCTCTGCAAGAAGAAAATAAGAGGGTAATGCTTGAGTACATTGACCACTTTCATTCTGAACTCCTGATCAGCTCAAGAGCCATCAAGGAGGTAGCTAGCCATGTTTGAGGCTGTTCAAGTGAAGAGTCTTATATCTGCCACTGAAGAAAAGTTAAAGGTACCGCTTCCAAAACAGAACACTTTCTATGATGAGGTATCCGAGAGTGAGCTTTTAATAGAAATACCAAGGCTGAGAAGGCACCTGAAGGCAGCAGAGATTGATCTGAAACAAGCCAAAGATTGGACAACTTTAGACATTTTGACATTCATAGTTGAATGGGACTGTGTAGAATCTCTCCCAACCCTTTCACTAAGCCTAAAATTATTTCTTTTTTTTTTTTATCTTTTGCCCATTTTTTTAAATTGTACTTTAGGTGAAGGTTTACAGAACAAATAGTTTCTCATTAAACAGTCAGTACATATATTGTTTTATGACATTGGTTAACAACCCCA